TTCAAGACATTTATTTGAAAATGATGAATTTAATGATGAATCAGTAACAGAGCCCGAATCGAACCGACTTTTACGGGTTCGAGTTCGGTTCGGTTCGACTAATTTTTTAAAAAATTGGTCCGGGTTCGGTTCGGCTCGAATATGTCTTAAAAAAGTGGGTTCGAGTTCGGTTCGGTTCGACTATGTTTAAAAAAAATCGGTTCGAGTTCGGTTCGGTTCGGCTAAATTTTAAAAAAACCGGTTCGAGATCGGTTCGGTTCGAGTCGAACCGAACCGAACCATTATAGTTCGGTTCGGTTCCTGATAGGCGTGCCATTTTCCTGTAAGTTTATTTTAAACTAAAACTGTTGCCAATATAAATTTAAATTAAATAAAAATTTTTCTGATACCAAAATTTTAATTTACAATAAATTTAAATTGTTATGTGAAATAAATTTAAAATTATTTTAGATTTAAATTTTTGAGAATTAATTTCTGGAAATAATAATTTTTTGTGAATTAAAATGCAACAGCCCAATCGTCAAAATACATGACTTCAAGAAAAATAGATCAGAAATAAAGAGAGAAACTGCTATTATACGTTAACATCCGATCATCACTATAGTAGATCCCGTAAGAAAACGGCCGTGCTCCGTTCCTATTATTTTCTAACGATAATAAAAAGCTTGTACAGATACCATTGCTAGTAGACCTGAGAGATGAAAGGTTTCTTTTGATTTCTATAGATAACTATACAAAGTGAAACTTAAATTAATTAAAATGTAGCTTAAAATACTTCAAATTTATTTAGATGTAATCTAAATTATTTTGAGTTTATTGAATTTTTTTGAATTTTGTACAAATTCGATTTAAATTCAAAATAAAATGAAATCTTTTACAATTGATTTCTTGACTTGATAAATTTTTGTAAATATAAATTGATCGTCCACAATCCCTGATGTCAAATGTTCGATTAAAGATCGTTTGATAATCCCATATAGCATCACAATCTTACAAAAAAGATTATAGCTCAGCTAATCATTTTTCTTATGTACTTGTCCATATTTATTCGCTTTTCAAAAATTAGTTAGGCGCAGTTCAGCTTAAGGTCGCTTTTTAAGAAGTGGTTCGAGTTCGGTTCGGTTCGATTCTGTTTTAAAAAGGGTGGTTCGGGTTCGGTTTGGTTCGACTACGTTTTTGAAAGAGCGGTTCGGGTTCGGTTCGGTTCGACTAAATTTTAAAAAAACCGGATCGAGATCGGTTCGGCTCGACTCGAACCGAACCGAACCGTCTTAGTTCGGTTCGAGTTCGGTTCGTTTTCGGGCTCTGATCAGTAAAAGATAATACAGATGCTGATCCTCAAGTTGAATATGAGGCTTATAATCATACGGAAACAGCTAATCATCCAGATAATTATAAAATGGTTGTTCGATGGAGACGTTTTATCGATGAATATATTAGAGAAAATAAACGTGATTATATTATATTAATAACTGAGGTATCTTTTTTTTCTTATTCAAACAATTTTCTATCATATTCATATTAAAAATTCTTCTCATCTATATAGAGAAATACTCTATATTCATCATATTTGTAATTATTTATATAGACTCAAGATAAAAATGTTGATGCAAATATGCCATATTATGGATTAAATCGTTGGTCAAGAGGAAATGATATAGCTATTAATTTTTTCATTGCTTATTTTCTTGGAGAAAAACCAGACGATCGAACAGGATAAAATTTAGCGAAATTTACTGAATTATGGTTATCAAATTTGCCAAGTGATGCATGGTCAACTTGGATATTAAGTTCACATGATAGTAAACGTGTTGGAACTAAATTAGCATCATCACATATGATTGATGGTTTCTATATGTTATTCTTACTTTTACCAGGAACATCTATTGTTTATTATGGAGAAGAAATTGGTTTGTTATTTGTTTTTATTTCAAATAATAAAAAATTTTCTAAACAAAAAATCTAAAATGAGTATTGACATATAGAACGAGAGACTTTTTTTTAACAACTTAGCAATATCTTCCTCTTCCTTCGTGACTGAAATAGAAAAATAAAGATATTTTAATTCCATATGGATTAAACTAATAGCCTTTTTCTAAATTTAATATTTGAAAGATCAAAAAATGATTTTTATATAAAAGCAAAAAATATTTGATTAATTTTAGGAATGGAAAATCTTATGTTTACAAAAGAAATGCGTAATGAAATAGTTGATTTATCTGCACTTAATTATGGTCTTAATGATAAATCAAAAATCGAACAACACGTTCGTGATGGCCAACGAACACCAATGCAATGGAGTTCAACGGAAATAAATAGTGGATTTACAACAGCATCGAAACCATATCTTCCATTATCAAAATCATGGAAAACAATTAATGTTGAAAATCAATTAAAAGAGTCTCGTTCTCATCTCAAATTGTTTAAACAATTAGTTGAACTTAGAGAAAATCCTCCATTCTATGGTGGAAAACATAAACTTGTTTTAGCTACTAAACAAATATATTCATTTATTCGATGGTCAAATAAATCAATATCTATTCCAATTTATCTTATTATTATTAATATGATTGGAGCTAGTAGAAATGATCAAGAAAATGAATGTGTTACACTTGATTTTATTCAATTATTAAAATGTAAAAAAAAAGATGCTCAAGGAAAAGTTATAGCTCGATCATGTTATATTAAACATGATTCATTATTATCGAATGAAGGAAATCAAGTTGATTTAAATAACATTTGTTTATATTCAAGTGAATCAGTTGTTTTACAATTAATGTTAACCATTGATCATATTGGTTTGTGTTCGTCATAGATTATAACTTGTACATTTTTTTTCTATTGTTTTTCTTTTTGTTTGTTAACATTATTCGAGCCATTTTAGTTTTCTATTTGAACTAAACAAAATAAAAATTTCATATTAATTAATGATTAAAAGAATATTTTAAATCAATTTGATAAATTGGATAAACATATTGTTTTATTGAGAAAAATGTTCTTATTTAGGGTAAAATCCTTTCGAAGAAGTACGCCATATTTTTCTTTAGAATTATCTATGTAACAAGGATATATGAAAATTGATTATTAGCGCATTAAGGGTGTGGGTGTGGGTGGGGTGTAGGTGTGGGTATGGTTGTGGGTGTGGATGGGGTGTGGGTGTGGGTGTGGGGTGTGGGTGGGTGTGTGGGTGTGGGTGTGGATGTAGCCTTTACTCAGGCCCAGACCCATACACCCACACCCACAACTCACACCCACACCACACACCCACACCACACACCCACACCCACCCACACCCACACCTACACCCCACACCCACACCCATACCCCACACCCACACCCACACCGACACCGACACCGACACCGACACCCAC